CAATACACTACGTGGTGCCGTTCCGAGTTTATGTCCGAAGGACACTGGGTATGACGGTGGAGACGAACACGACTCCTGGACCGACGCCAACTCATCGTTTATGGAGAGCAAGCAGTATAAAGAGCATTATTGGCGTTGCGAAATCGCGGTCTAGTGTGTTTTGAACTGTAATAAACTTTTTTTACAAGTTCTTTACTCAAGCTAGCCCGAGGAACGCAACCAGATACACTGTGATTCAGCCGTTGTCAACTGCTCGCGTTGATTCTTTTTCTGGACTTCAATCCACCTCTTTATAGCTCAAAATATCCGGAAAAAAAAACTCGAGAACCCTATCAAAATGAGTGGATGTGCTGTGTTTTGCACATGACACGAATCTCACATATTTTTCCACTCCACTACGCCTGTTGTTGTGGTGACATACTATAAAAACTCATCAACAGAGGGGCAAGGCGTCAAAAGTGATTTTTTCGACAAAACCTCAAAAAACTTCCTGTTTAAAAGCCATTTTCTCAGTTTTTTTTTAGTGAAATGTCATAGTCGCTATGAAAACGACTGGAACCCTTAACCCGTTGATGGATGTGGTTTAAGACATTAATAAATACATTTTCACAGAATAGAGAACGCAGATGTGTTAAATAAGTGTGACTACTCACAATAAGTACTCTAAGTAAGGAAGTATATGTTGGAAATAAATCTCTATGCTGTTACTTGGTATTTATGCTGCAAAAGGCGATCAGGACACGATGAGAATGTGGTCAGAAGAGCATGATGACCCCCGATCAATCCACTGAAGTACCCCGACCAACCCCCGGAAGTACCCATCAAACCCCGGGAGTACCCCGGTTAACCCCTGGAAATACCCCCATTGATCCGCGGATGTACCCCAATCAATCCAAGAAGATACCCCGATTAAGCCCTGGAACTACCCTGATTAACCCCCTGTAATACCCCGATCAGCCCCTGGAAAATCCCTGGAAATACCCCAGTTTCCCTACGGAAATCCTCAGAAAGCCTTGCTTCACTGCTCAAACAAAGTCATTTCATGCTGGAAGCGTTTCTTCGTGGCGTAGCACCTATATGATCAGGGATAGGCCTAGTCGTATGTAATACACACACCCTCATGATGTCGTGCCTATTCGCGCTCTTCATTCAAGCTCTGCGTGCAGCATTGACCACTGTTCATGGGTAATCCTCAAAAATGCGCACATGGGTACGTTAGATGGGTGAATAACGCACGCATCTAGTATAAATTTGCCGGCTGGTGTTAATACTCTCAAGACTGAGTAGCAGCTAGGCGGCTCATACAAGAGAGGCTCAGTAGCAATTCCTTGAGGTTAAAATCTAAAGAAAGAACAAACGAAAAATCTGAAACTAAAAAAAACCAAGTTTAGAAATGCATAAGGACAGGTACCGATAAATAAAGTTTTCAACTTTTCAAAAGCAGGAGACCGAATCATCCCCTCTCTCCACTATTCTGGAACAATTCCAAGTTCAACAACGCATAAGTCAGGAACTGAGCAAGGGACACATTATATTCGGACCGCCAAATCGATAGTAATCCGAAAATGGAAATCTACGTCCACTTGTTTTGCTGTTTTGTTTTGTTGTATCACAAATGCTTGGAATAGGCAATGAGTATCATTGCCTTTCTGCATCCCACATCGTTGGTAGACCCAGGGCTTTCCCACCTGAGCTCTTCCCTACACGCCATCAGACTATCAGATCTAAGACGCCTCTGGCAGGAATGCTCCCTGGAAGCGACGAGTGCGTTTTATACATTTCATGGCAGTGTGATAGTGATGTCCGCACCTCTTCAGTGCTCCCGGGTCAGGTTCCGGAGGATCATTTCGCTCCGACTTGGTGACAGCGAGAACAGCCCAATCGAGTCTACGATTTCATAAGGTTAAGTTTGCGCTGTGTTTTGATTTCCCAGGAACTGTCTCCTTATTCATCATTTTCCAGAAGAAACCCGTGGAGAAGACTACGAGAAGGTCCGTACCGTTTGATACATCAGGTATTGGGAATGTAGTCTCGTGACATTATCTCACAACTAGAGTACAGGAGCATAAGTTGCGCAGTCCCTACGCCATCTGCATGGGTAAAAGATCTGGGCTAGGATCTACGAACACATAACACAGCTTTTATGTCTTTCATCTTTTTAAGCCATACCACGAGCATCAGCGCTAGCATCG